TAGTACCTAAACCTAATCAGTGGGTAGAAGTCAAAGTACTTACCCAGTGAAAATCAGTAACAGGTTTTTCACTCCAGTGTAACTGCAGCGCTCCCACCATCTTATTCACAGGATCATACTGAGTCTTCAACACTCTGTTAAGCATGGTGTGTTTTTGTATTACAACTGAGATTGGAGGTCTTTGCTCTGATAGAGGTTACAGTTTTCTCTGTGTTCAGAGAGTAAGGAAACACCACAGGCAGGAGGCACAGGTCTGACCCCTTGGACTTTTTGGCCTCTTAGGTGTCTGAAACTAAAAGCAGTGTGGAGAAGCATGTAGCAGGCTGCTTTCAGAGTCACTGCGAATTAATAATTCATTCTTTGTCTTTCTTTTTTGGGAGGGGAAAGAAGTTACTCAAATGTAACTTTGCAGGACGTCAGTTAGAGAAATTGTGATGAATGCTCAAACTGCTCAAACATAAGGGTTTGTTTGTAAACCATTTGCAATGGTTTTATGTACAGCCAAAATAGTTCACAAGATCTCATTTGTAATTATTAGAATTGCTGTACTGCAGGACAGACATCAGAAATACATGTGTTTGCTGTCAGTAACTCCCTGTGGTTGTGGCAAAGCTTTACCGATTATATTAAGTCAAAGCAGTGCAGATGGATTTCTCCCTGTTGGTTTTGGCTCAGAGAGCGGTGTTACTCTGTGTTATACACTGTGCCACGCACACTGTATCCCTTGGCTGCCAGACCCAGCAGTGGCCTTTGATTACATGAATAGCCTTAGCTGAATAGGTTGGCAGAGAAGACCACCCAAAGGGACAACCTCGTTGCTTTGTGGAGAAGTTAAGAATGCAGTGCTGCTGCTGTGAAAACCTCCCCTATCACTGCCTATGACCCTGGCCCATGAGTGATCGTTGGTGTTTATACTGTGGCTGTGCTGAGAATACCAATGTGAAGCCGACCAAACATGGAGAGAGAGCCTCCACCCTCTTAGTGAGCTGGTGAAATAAACAGAATGTGGATGAAGTAACATTAACTTCAGCCTCCTGGTTGTTAGTGCAGTTCAAGGCTATTTACTTTTCATAGAAGTTTTATGAAGGCTGAAATTGCATTCAGAACGTCCTCACTTAAGTACACATTTATTCTTAAGGCAGCAATTAACTCTGATATGGCATCACTGCTTTTTCAGGCAGGTAACACAATGCTAGGCAAAAAAAAGTGATTCAGAACTTCTGCTTTATTGCTGAACTACACAACCCTAGAACAAGATGCAACAATGCAACACAAAACCAAGGCATGACTAGAACTAAGAACTAGACCACACAGCGAGAGGGAAGACATGACAACATGACAAAGAACAGCAAAAGACTCAGTCAACATATACACAAGAGGTAATCAGAGCAGATGACACATCCAGGGAATATGGATAATCTAACTGATGGAACATGACGCATGGGAGACAAGGGAATGTCAAAATAAAGGGAAAACACACAGAGGGATGAATGTGGGAACAGGAAGGAAACAACACATGGACCAGGACTACAAATGTATCATCTAGACAAGACAGGGAAAGCACACAGACACTAAGGAGAGACGCTGAAGACAGAACACAGAGACAAGACAAAGACAGACTGGATATGGATCATGTGAAATAACTGTAATACTTAAAATACTGTAGGAGTGAAAAGAATTCCGATTTTATGTCAATTTTCTGTTCAAAGGGGTAAACCTAGCCTGGCCTAACAAGCCTCTTAATGCTGTTGTTTTAATGCATCACTGCCAAACATAACTAGTGTTTATTGGTTACTTGAGACATGGTGCATAATGGGACATATTTGGAACTGCCTACAACACGATCTTTGTGGTGTTAAAAAAAAAAAGTCTGTCTTGGGACCAGTGTGACTCGCAGAGTCATGAGTTATACCTACCCATCGGTTTGAATCTGAATCTAAAAATACCTTCCTCAGACTCTGACAATGCCTTCTTTGTGCTGGAAGTGTCATGCTAAGTCTCTTCCTGTTAACAGACTCACACTGTGTCTGCAAACTTTGCAGGTTTTGATGATCGAACCTTGCAAAACATAGAGAAGGCTCATGTCTGGGACTGTGAAGAGAAGATGGGCCAGAAAATCAGAGCAGCTTTTTCTTTTCGGCCTGCTGAGCGCAGAGTGAGTGTTGAAGCTTTAGACCCTCTGCCCACCCTGGCTGACCAGAGGGGAAGGGGAAGGGGAGGGGGAAACAACAGAAGGAGGGATCCCGTGTTGAAGGTGAAAAGGGTGCCAAAGTCCTGCAAATGGAGACGAGGGTTTAACACTCAGTCTGACTCTGACAGTTGAGTTGTTGGTTGAACAGTTTGGATGGCTGCACTGTCCTAGCGTGCTCAGCAGACACAAACCCTCTGTGGCTCATTTCCCGCTCCCTCTGCTGTTTTGTCTCTCTCACTGTTTGTCTCGGTTTCCAATCTTCCCATCTGTATGTGATTTAGGCACAGGCTCAGGGGAGAGGCAGGTCCACTAGGGGAGAGGAATCGGGGCAGGGAGGGAGAGAGAGAGAGAGAGAGAGAGAGAGAGAGGAAGGGAAGCAGTCAACACAAGTTTGTTTTACAGGACTCAGCTAGGGCCGGGATAAGGGGCAGTGGTGGATCTGGACGTCGCAAGCTGTGGAAAAGCGAAGCCAGAGGGTGCAGCCGATCATAAGGGGCTGCCCAGGGACTTCCCTACAGCCAGTGGACACTGATTGAGACTTAAACGAAGGATCAGTGGGCAAATACAAATATGGCAGCAAAATCTCTGCCCTTCTGCTTTCTCTGCATCTTCTTATTGATTGCAAGAATAACTTCTGGGGAGCAACAGCAGTCAGTTCTCAAAGTAAGACACATTTGGTTTTCCTTCTTTTTGGCTTGTATACTGTGAACGTTATCAGTTTCTGACTTTCTATGAGTTACGATTGAGTACACAGGCTTTTGGGAAGCTGGAAATGATGTCTTGGGAGTTTGGGTTCTTTGCAAAGCTCTCTGAGGACACAGAAACTTCACAGTGGTCTTGCAGTGGGTTCGCATGTGTGTTTATACCATCAGAGGTACCCCAAGACAACAACTCTGATAGGCTTTGAGTTACTGTATGTGATTCAGGCACAGGCTGCTCCTCCTGCCCCTCCCTGACAGTTCTCTAATGGAAAGCAGCTACAAAATGTTGAGCAACAGCATGGGGAGGGGGCACAATATGCAGTAAGGGCATGGAAGCCATTAATGACTACTGGCACACACTCTACAATTCCATTGGCAATAGCTTTAATACTTGTAAGCTCACACGCTTAACTTAAAAGTATTGAATTTATGATCATAATAAACTTAGACTGTGGGGAAAGATGCATGGAGATAAATAATGTGATAATGTGAAAGTCTGAGGTTGTTGCATGTGCATTTTCACATAATATAAAAACCCTGGCATGATCATACAGCACAACACTGGTCTTCTTTCTTCTTCTTTAAGTTATAATATGACTCAGGCCGGTGTTTGTTTGTGAGTGCAGACTACAGCTGGTCTTCTGGCAAAGCAGTCAAAGATGTGTTTCTTTCCTTCAGTGTTCAAAGAATAACTTGCTATTAGATCCCGAAATCAAAGTTTGCTCCGAATCCACAAGTACTCAAATCTTTGACGGACTTCTAAAAGTCCATTTATGTATCTTCATTATAGGCTGTTCTGTTTATGATGACCCAGTGCCTGATGTAAGTACAATGACTGCATTGTCTTGTGCAGCTACTAGACCTCGAAAGTGGTTATGGTTAAGGGCAGTGTTTACGGACCTTGCTGAGCTTTGCTTTTCTTGTCTAAACAACAGAAAAAAATATAGCAAAGGTCTGACACAGGACAGTAGAGAGGAAACTGGACTTTGCTGGAGCCTCATCAGAGATGGTCTCAGTGAAAGAGTACTTGTCGTGAAGTCATTCTTCAGGAATAGAAACAGGGAGAAAAAGGCTTAAATATGCCAGTGAGAAAAGGCAGTGACAGGTTTTATCTAGTGGTGAATCCAAATGTAAAATTTTATGCTCATATCATCATCAGTATGTACAAAAGATGTGTGTCTTCAGCCATCTTTCTGTTTTTACATTCTATACTGTAATTCCGAAAAATATATGCATGTTTTAAAAAATCACAAGTATAAAAAAATGATCGGTGGGTGGTTCAAGATTATTGTATAATACTGCAAATCACTGCAAAAATTAAGTTTTTGTGGTGCCTTGGTAGTGCTTGCAACACATTCTTAACATAATATAAATTTATAGTTAGAGATAAATCTAGCACTTTAAGCAAATAGGGATATTTATTAACTATAACTTAACATTGTGATAATAAATATGAGATCTGTATGAGCAAAGTCACTTATAGTCGGGATGAGATTCTCATGACCCAGGGTATATCCGGATGTTCAGAAGAGTTACAATGACTAAATCCACCGTCTGACCATCCCTTCAAGGTCAGTCTAAGTACAGCAGATAATTCCATTTGGGAGGCAAAGCGGAAATGACATTCAACCCTCAAGCATTAACATTTAATCCACTTATAGTGCCCTTGTGCTAGGAAAATCTCAAAAAGCAGGCAGAAGTACATATATTATAAGCAACACATCCACAATAAGAGCTCCGTGTACACACATGGCTGTACAAATTTCAACCTATATTATGGGACAGGGTGTTGATTTTAGGTGAGCTAATCTGTGGAGCCATAAATTGTTTTTTGCGTGTGATACCTGCCTTATGGTCCATCCTCAGAGCCTAGGTCAACACACAGATACTGATAAATACCTAAATGTCAGAGAGAGTGAATCATTGGAAAAGTTATCTTCAGTTAAAAAACAAATCGAGGTTATATAATATGCTGAATGTAAGCTTTGTCCTGCCCTCGCAGTGTAGGAGGGCCACAGAGATTGTTCACATTACTAAGCGTGCTCACAGCTGGCAGAGAGCTTCAGATGTTTGTGAATGTTATTAATGCTTTCAGGTTTAAGGGGTGTTTTTTTCAGCTTTAAGTTTCTATCAAGGCTATCAAATCTATTTCTATTTGGCATAATCAAAGGGAAATCTAATAACACAAACACTGTGAGGCCGCAGACTTTATTTGAAAGATGTAGTTTCTGAAATTATGCTTGTTTTAAATGTGGCTCGTTAACCCTCTTTCATTTTTATTTTTTTTTAAAGAAGTGGCTGAGAGGCTATAGATTTTTTTTTAAGTTTGTTTGAGCAACATAAGCTTTCTTACAAATCAAAATATGTTGAAACTGTAGTCAAAAGCAATATTCACCTAAAATACACCCAAATATTTTGCTGAGAGTAAAGTTGTAAGATTGATCCAAACTGTTTGTCACCAATTCTGTTCGTAATTGTTATGGTCCGAATTTCTACACTTAACCAAGTGGCAGAAATCCCAAAAAGTTTATTCTGTTCATCTGGACGTAGCGTTTTTTAAAGGGAGAAACGTTTCATCCCTCAGTGGCTTCATCTTGGCTTTATGCAGATGATGTTCTTCTATTAGCTTCATCAGGTGGTGCTGAGTGTGAAGCAGCAGGACGGAAAACGGTGGAGGGCCCACCTTGGTCAGGGAGAAGTGGCTATTCAAAGAGTGCCTTGCAGTCTTATTCATGAACAAGGGGAGATTTGGCCATGTCAGCAGTGATGCAGATGCTGCACAAGTCAGTAATAGTGAAAAGAGAGCTGAGCTGTAAAAGCAAAGCTGTCGATTTACCGGTTGATTTACTTCCCCACCATAACCTATGGTCACAAGCTTTGGGTAGTGACTGGAAGAATAAGGTTGCAGACACAATAGAAATTAGCTTTCTCTGAAGCTTGGCTGGTCTCTGCCTTAGAAATTGGCTGAGTTTGGTGATTCTCAAGATAGACTGACAAGAGTCAGATGAGGTGGTTCAGGCATCAGATTAGGATGCCTCCTGAGTGAGGTATTCCAGGCATGTCCTACCAAAAGGAAGAGCAGACCCATGGCACGCTGGAGAGATCACGTCTATCAGCTACCCTGGGTGTGCTTCAGCATTTCCCCAGACAAGCTGCATGAGGTTGTGCGGAGAGGGAAGTTTGGTTATCAGTTTAATCTACTTTAGTCTTTATGCTGACCTAAGCTATCTGGTTACCACTGTTTTGTACTTCTTGGGGAAATGTCAGATTATCATGGCGAAGAAATTGAACTGACAAAAATCACTTGATATTGATGATTTGTATTCATATCAACTGTAAGAAATCTGTTTTAAGTATGAATGTGATTTGCATTTCTCTTCTGTCTTTCTGTTTATGGCCAGATAAACATAATGTATAATGTAACTGTTTGTTCTTCTGTTTAGGCTCTCTTGTAAAAAGACATAGTAACATTGTAACATTCAAGTCTAAAGATGTCCAAGTCCTAGCAGTATACCATCTGCTCTTCGGCCCTCAGCCCCCTTCCTCTATTCCCCTGTGTATATGAACTGCAGCTGTTTGACCCATCACAGACTGTCACACAGTTAATAGGTCTGAACTATTTCAGAAGACTTTAATGTGCTTTTACAAATGATAGATAATTGGGATCTTTGTGGTTTTCCCATAAACTTTAGGCTCATTAGTTCTAATAGCTTAAACTAACATTTGGGGCTATTTTTTTTTTTTCTTTGAGCACTGATCCCATTGCCACATTTAATAGGAGTATGTGTATACATGGAAGGTTTACACATAAGTGTTTACGTGACAATAATAGATGTCTCTGTGGATGCTTTTCCTGTAGACTCAGGGAAGCCTACAGGAAATGGATCAGCAAGAATAATAAGAGCTCCTGTTTGCAGGATGTTTCACATCAGCTTGCAACATAATAACGTCTTTGTGTCGCAGCCCATCTGTGAATAAATCAAAGGAGAGTATGAGTCACATGTGGGTATACACTACTGTATGTCTTTGGAATGTTCCATCGTCTGGTTATTCTGAATGCAAAGCATCAATGTCCAGCAGAGTGAGTGGAACAAGGAGATCAAACTATGGTGGTCTTGCAGACTACTGCAAACAAAGTGCTACTGTACACCTCACTGAATGGTGCTGCTTCAGAAAATCAAAGATATTCAGAGGGCCGAGTGTGTGCGTGACGCCTCTGAACTCTTGCATCACATTGTCGTCAGAAAGTCTGGTTAACAAACATCAGACAGGATGTAGTGTTTGGACTGATGTTCTGTAAAATGTCAGGATGCTGTACTTTTATCGTGTTGTGTGTTGAAACTGCTAAATTATCAACCATCGATTCAAATGCCCAGAAAGTGAGAGCCATGACTGAGAATCCTGGGTCAATAGCATTTTTATATGTTGATAGATAGCACAGGATATGTTAGCGATATTTATCTGTATTTGGTTCTATAATATTTTAATGGAACTGAACATCAAGCAGCTTCTTGGTGATTAAAGTTAAGCTGCATTTTAGCCACATGCTAAAGCAGCATAGTTTAAGAAACTGAGAGATGTTACATTTCAAATCAAGTCTCTTATTGTGGTCTATTTGTAAACTTAACTCTAACCCTAATCAGCTTTGTGCAGTCATCATTAGCGATGACATCAGTCCTAGCCCCAACGCTAAATGCTAAGGTCAGAGCTCAGTCCCTGAAGAAAATGCACCCGAACATTCTCCCTCTATCACTACTATCAGTCAACATTTTGCATTTAATGAATGAATATTGCACGTGGCACATGACATATACATCAGTTTACCATATAACTGAGTCCCGGTATAAAACGTAGTTGTGTGGCAGATTCACTCGTATTAAGTTTTTCTTTACCCTGACAATAGACTAACAGATGGACTTAACCGCTGATGTTTCACACACTGTTTTTACACTTGGCTTCAATGTTAGTATTTTATTTTCTGTCATGTTATATTTTCATTTGTTTTTTTGGAGCTGGAGGCGACTATATATATATATTCAAATTTTATTTATCAAAACTGAAGCACAAACTTCCTGTAGCTGCTGTACCACAAACTGTTTGTCAGATAATTCCATTATAAATGCTCCAAGTACAGTGACTCAAGGAGAAGCCTAAAGGGCAGCTCCCAGCCACATTTGCCTTTGCCAAGATCCACCAGTCAAAGTCTTAAACTTCCAGTAAAGGAACCACAGTTTTAGCATTGTTATTCCACTTTTCATGGCCTGAGGATGTTGTTTAAATACAAGTTTAAACAACCAATCAACTTAACTTTGAGAGTTCCTCAACTCTTACCTGCAGTTAGTGTGTCTACTTAACCCAACTAGAGTTTTCTACAAATTTTTACTTTACAGAAAACTGACATTTCTGTTCCCACTGCAGGTGTGTGGCAGGGGATTTTTCCTCAGTGAGCAAAGCAAATGCCTGCCATGTAACTGCAAGGGGCATGCTGACTACTGTGAAGACATCACTGGCATCTGTATAGTAAGTTGACTGCCTTTCACTCAGTAAGGTGCCCGGGTACACAAATGTTGTCGTAAACATAATATTTCCTCTCGCAGAACTGCAAATACCACAGCATGGGTGATTTCTGTGAAATGTGTGAAGATGGCTACATTCTGACTCCTGGCCTGGGTGGACGCCACACCTGCCAACCATGTGCCTGCCCCCTCCCCATCCCATCCAATAAGTAAGCTGCTCTGCTGTTGCTTGTGTTGCCACAAGACTGACAGACATCTCAAAAATATTTTCTTCTGTGTGTCCGCCCAGCTTTGCAGTGCACTGTGACAAAGGAGGTGCCACTCCACGGTGCAAGTGCCAAGAGGGTTACTCTGGAAATTACTGTGAGAGGTCTGTGCTGAGAAGGCCTTGAACAAGCAATCAGTAAATTATGTAAATCAATTATAACATAACTGCATTACCTGCGCATTCAATAAAAAGGTACACGTTACAGACTGAGCAGAGTTTCATGTCAATGAAACACATAAAATATATTTAGGTTCACAACATTCACACTTATTTTATCTTACTTACTTAATATTGGAATGGCCACAATATCTATACAGCATCTAACTCCAACTGCCATATATAGTACAAAACTTTTAAACACCACAACATTTATGAAAACATGAGATCTCTGTAAAGTGCAACATCACATACACTGTCATTTATATGCATAGGACTTATGCTCACACCCAAGATGAATAGATTTTGCTAGTAATTTGCTAAAGCTTACGGATCACTTCTAACTGGTTCATGAGAGCAGCCTTAGCTTTGTTTGTTTTGTTTTTTTTAAACAACTAGGAAGAAAGTCATGAGCTTTTAGTGATGTGTTAACATTTAAAACTGAATAATGTCCAATTTAGGCATAAAGCTACAACAATCATTAGCTTTGCTTGTCTTGTAACAAAGGTCAAAAAGATTTTCCAAAAGTAGATTTTACTTTACTGTGTTAGACAGTGAGGCTCTCAGTCATCTGCAGTTTCTTCCATCCAGGTGTGCTCCCGGTTACTATGGCAGCCCAATGACGACTGGTAGTTCCTGTAAGAGGTGCGACTGCAATGGTAACACTGACCCCAACCTGATTTTCAACGAGTGTCACAATGTGACGGGCCACTGCCAGCACTGCTGGGGAAACACTGCCGGTGCCAACTGTGAGAGGTGCACCCCAGGGTTCTATGGCGATGCCATCAGTGCCAAGGACTGCAGAGGTGGGGATAATGGGTGAATACCCATACTTTAGGGGGTATTTCCTATGGGATAGCTAATGTTTGATGCATGAAAGCATTGTTCCTCAATGTTTTATGGCAGTTCTCACACGATACCCCAACAATGTAATTTGTGTATCTTAAGCCAGTCGCATAGATGGGTGTGTAATGTAATGATGGGAGATTAATGAAGTTTGTTGATGCAGTTGTTCTGGCTGGCTGTTCAACATTCTTGTCATAAACTCAGTGACAGTAGTCAGGCATTCCAGCAGCTCATTGCAGACTGCACACACTGACCTGCACTATTGTGTCACACTGTCCTGAAGTCGCCATAGAGCACTTCACAGGAGGACTATTTTTTACAACTTATTTACTCAGTTTAACCTTAGCTGCTTAAAAGAGATGACAAAAGGTGACAAAAGTGCAGTTTTTAGCCCCACACAACCTTGAAGTTGCTCTGTTGCAAAGACACATGGTCTCAATTCCATATCAAGGATTATCGTATGCCTTTAGAGGCCCTGCAAGTCCAAAAATAACCCTTTCCACCATACTCGTGACATAATTTGACCTCTGGTGTTCTCATCACTCCATACATCCCATGTCTTTTCTAGAGTGCGAGTGTGACAAATGTGGCACCTCTTCATGCGATGACAGGACAGGAGTGTGTCACTGCAAGCCGGGAGTCACTGGACGGCTGTGCGACCAGTGTGAGGTGAGACACAGCACGTGAGCTTCTTTATTGCAACTCTTATTTCTTCTTTATTAATAAAAAATATGTCCCTTTGTGTACAATTAGGCACTGACAACTAGGCTTAGGCAAGTTCCTCGGTTAGGTAAGAATAATAATAAAAGATCGTGGTTTGGCTTGGCTACCATTATAACACCTTCCAACTTTCTCTGACATCAAACAAACTTTCTGTCAAAATAGACAAGTTATAAATTGATCCTCCCAGACAAACAGAAAGCCTTTTTCCGACTATTCCATATTCTGTTATGAGACTGGGATGGAGTGGCTACAGGGCAGGACCAGCCTTACATCACTCAGCCACTGCCCAGGATAAAGCTTCATAGAACATACGAGGAGCAGACTCAAGAAGGCAGTTCAAACATATAATAAATAAGCTAAGATTCTTTAGAAGAAAAAGGCAATATAAAAGCCAAAATAGGTCTAGTTTATTTTTTGTGAATTTATGTATGCGTGTGTCGATGAAAAGATGAAGTCGATGCATGAGTTCAAGCAAAAACACAAAAAGCTGCAGTTACGAAATGTCTGCAAGGGTCATTGTGAGGTTAAGGGAAAAGTACTGAAAACAGGGCAACTGTTACATGAAGCATGAAAGCTGCAGATGAAAGCAGCTGAACTCTCAAGTGAGAACATAAAAAAGATGGAAGCAGTTACAGCTGAATGATTTGCCTACATTTTTTTTCTAAGATCTACAGTAGTTACTGCGAACTGTATTTTGACCCTTACAATGACATCAGAGCACAGCATTTATCTCTTATATTATGCACAGAGCCTGCTTCAAAATGAACTGGAAGAGCCCAATAACTGGAGTCCAACACTGTTTTTCACTCTTGTAATCTAGGAAGGCTACTCGGGTTTCTCCAGCTGTCAGGGCTGCCGGAGGTGCGACTGTGGGCCAGCTTCCCTCCGGTCCATCTGCCATCCTCTCACCCACAGCTGTCCATGTCGCCCGGGGGCTGGAGGTCGTTACTGCGAGCGCTGTCTCCCAGGATACTGGAATTATAGCCCCTCTGGCTGCCAGAGTAAGTTATCTGCCTGTACACAGTAGGGCAGATAACTTGACATAATCAGCATTTGTTAAAAACATTCAGTGTAGATTCCCAGAGGAAAAGACTGCACTGAACGCTCATGTTCCCACACCCACTGTTGTTTTAATGTTCACTGGTGGTACATGTGGTAAAAGTACAAATTCTTCACTTAAGTAGAAATAAAAATTGTTTTTAAAAACACTCTGGTAAAAATTTGAAATATAATAATATTTTTAAAAAATACCAATTTAACTGAATATAAACTTTTCACATTTTTTGATATTGCTGAGCTGTTATGAGTGTTGCGTTTTTTAGTTTTACTTTTCAACAGCCACCTCGACGCTCAAGGAAAAACTCCCTTTTAACAAAAAACCTTCGGTAGAACCAGACCCAACTGCTGTGGCCGGTTTCAATTTTAAAAGGCTAATTAAAAGTCTACACTGGGACTTGATCCCATGTGAGAGGGGACTGACATCATTAATTAGATGTGTTTTTTCTGCCCTTTTAATCTGTTGTGTAGGTGCTGGACATAATAATATGTATGTATTCCCCTCAAATGTCTTAAACCTAATAGTAATTAGGCTTTTCGGAAAAAGTAAGGAATCCAAAGTAAAGTAAAGCACAGACGTCCGAGATTCAATGCAGAGACAGTAACAGTAAGTGTTTTACTTTCTTACTTTTGACCTCGGGTGTTAATGATGTCAGAGGAACATCTGCTGGAAGCTTTGATAGTCTCTGTGGCCAGTGACTATCACTGTGAGAGTTGGATGACATCAACGCCCAATTCCAAATCTATATACATACACAGCTGCTTAAATAAGGAGTCACACACTAAAGAAACCACAAGACAGATGTGCAGGCCTCAAGCCAAGTGAACATCTGCAGATTTTAATGTCTTGTTTCCAGCTGGTGAAAATTTTCAACTGAATGAAGTGTCTGTTTTTGTTGGGGTTTTTTAATAGAGTGTGACTGTGAGAGTGGCTTCTGTGATATGCATACAGGAGGATGCCTGGCAGAGTCTTCAACGGTCAACCTGTGCAACATCAGTAAGTGCAACAAACAACAGCGGCAGAAATTCACTAACTAAAGGAAAATTATGTGAAGAGCTCTGATCCAAGTTGGGTTTTTCGTTCTTTTTCCTGACTTTAGCTTGTGATCAGTGTATCTGGCATCTGATTAAAGACATGGAGCACTCCAATAAGACACTGGACCAGCTAAAAGTTGGAGTGTTGAACATTACCACAGGTGCTGCTGCTAACGATAGAGTGAAATACTACAACTATACTGCTCATCAACTGCAGGTACATGCACATTTATATGTATTAGTGCTATAAAGGTAAAATGAAACTGCACTAGTAAAACCTTTTTATACATATAATGTGCAAAAGTGTATGTGTGCTGGGAGGTACATTGCTCATACTGATGAATCTAAGACTTGTCATGTAGCTTGACAGTTGCCGCACAAATGTATGAAGCATTTTAGCTTCAGTAGCATCACTGTTTAAGCTCATTGTTTTGGTTTTTGACCTCACAACTTTGATTTGACTTTTCAATATCAATTTCATTTATATATCGCCACATCACAACAATATTGTAAGGTAAAGACCCTACAATAATACAATTTGCATAGCACCAAATTAGCAAGAATTAGCAACTACACCCACAACATTCAGTTTCTGTTCATAGTTTACCTTCCAATTAATTCTGATAGTTCGGCTTTATTTTTGCACAAACATATTACAATGTTAGCTCTATGATAGTTGTAGCTTCCTTTACATTTTTAGCTTTAAATGTGTGGAATGTAAGACATTTCTACAGAGACAGACAGAAATGCTGCTATTTAAATTCTGATGCATGAATTCCTGCAGTGAGTTTTCATTATTTCTACTTCACTCCTGTCTTCCTTTCAGAGTGGGTATCGAGTTTGGAGAAACAAGTCGTCTGTAATGCAGGCCCAGACTGAGGAGCTGAAAGAGGCCACAGATGTTCTGGTACTGGACATCAGAGAGCTAGGGAAATCGGTGAGCACCATCAAACCTTTAGATGTTTAAAGCTAGTGTTTGTGTGTCTGCAGTCTAGCTATTTTTTCACTTACAATGGGCGATCGTGGCTCAAGAGTTGGGAGTTCGCCTTGTAATCGGAAGGTTGCTGGTTCGAAGCCAACAAGAATCGATAAGGAATTGAATCGATAAGTGATATCAGTAATGGAGTCAGAATCAGTTATTCTTGTAATCGGAAGGTTGCCAGTTCGAGCCCCGGCTCCGACAGTCTTGGTCGTCGTGTCCTTGGGCAAGACACTTCACCCGTTGCCTACTGGTGGTGGTCAGAGGGCCCGGTGGCGCCAGTGTCCGGCAGCCTTGCCTCTGTCAGTGCGCCCCAGGGTGGCTGTGGCTACAATGTAGCTTGCCATCACCAGTGTGTGAATGGGTGGATGACTGGATATGTAAAGCGCTTTGGGGTCCTTAGGGACTAGTAAAGCACTATATAAATACAGGCCATTTACCATTTTACAATAATGTAGAAATTATATTACTCAATATCAACTTGCAGGTCATACTTTCCCGACGCATATTTTTATGCTTTTATAAATAATAACCTGTCACAGCATTTAAGATGCTACATTTATTTACATTTATTAAAATGTTTGATTTTAGGCTTTGACTTATCTCTTTATTTGTGGCTTTTCAGGAAAGTGTGGTGAACATTCTGTGGAACATGTTGGATAATGACACACTGGAGACCTTCACACTTGCTGAACAGCTCAGCATAAATCTGACTGATCTAAACATACGCATTGAAGGTATCAAACAACTCTCAAACGCAAAAGCCTGTTTTGTTGCTGTGTCCGGTGAATTAAATAGTGAAACTGTGTGCTATGTCTAAATGTATTTTACCTATCTTAACTGGGTTTTAATGTTACACGTTCATACAGAGATGATCCACGATTGGGAGGTGTACAGTATCCAGCAGGAAGTGGATCCTGAGGTGGTGAGAAAGAGCTCAGCGGACGCTGAGGGAATAGTGGCTTTGATGAGGAAAATAGACCTTTCTCCAGGAGAACCAATCGCCACTGGCGAGTCCACAGAGGCCCATGACTGTAAGACACACAACAGTTACACAGCAAACACCTGCGCATGATTACATCACTATATCCCTATTACACTGTAGTGAGCAAGGGTTGGAGATGCAACATTATATGAACATTATTTTGATATTCAAAGCATGCACATTTTTTGTAAACATGCACATGTGCAAAACAGGCTGGTAGCATCAAGTTGAATGGTGGCAACCTTTTAAGGTATCGGGTTGGGTTCATACCTACCCCCTATAGCCCAATGGAATCATACCACAGCAGAACTGTAAGGCCAAACATGCATGTAAAAGACTGGTTCAGTGGTTCAGTCATGACCTGGTAGATGTTAAAAGGTTAAAAGAATACATTTTCTGCATCAGATAATGCATACAAATGTATGTAGCAGGTCGCTTTGAGTGCTCAGAGTAAAAATGAGCTAGATAAGAATCAGTCCATTTACCATTTATAATATAACTGCTGTGGATGAAAAGACTCACAAGTTCTACAAAAACAGCACCCTGAGTCACTCCAATGTGTTAGCAGTGGTGATAAAATTTCAGCTAATGTTTCTGGTCGTGTTTGCAGTGCTGGGCCGCATTCGGCAGTTGGAAAAGAAGCTGATGATCACAAACAGCCGCCTCCCGTCTGTCCGAGAGGTCTTGTCCCGCTTTTCCGGCAGACTGTCAGAAGCTCAAGGCTTTCTTGCAAAAGCAGACAGCAATGTGCACGAGGCGGAGAATAAGAACCGAGCTAGTGTCCTCAAATTCCAGAGGCATGAGGTAATTTCCCGTGACCCCACTCAGCTCTTACAGCGCCCTACTTCCCTCTCCCATCTACACTATGTTTGATTCTCTGTTAGTTTTTACTTCTATAGAATGGCTTATTTCTTCCTTTTTTCAACTCAGAATACTTCAAACAGTGTTGAGTTGTGATTTTTCACACTAGTACCTGGCATTTAAAGACAGAAGTACAGCGTGTTCTTAGTCCGAAATGCACAGTTGCAAAAGAGCAGAGAGAGAAGGAGATCTGGTTGTACTTTGCCGGTCATGTCAGAGAACTCTATTACTGTGGTATTTAGGTGATGAGAACAGAAACTTAAAACCATCTGTGGGAGTTACATTAGAAGGGGGCCTGCACAGGGGAAAAAGCAACATTGCAATGCAAGTGTTTTTCCCACGATAATATTCACAGCCTACCCACACAAACATGACTGACTTTCTCATGATGCACCCAGCCAAGTCTTATCCCAAGAGGGAAAAAAAACAAAACACTTCTCTGCAAAAACACTAAGATGCACATAATGTACATGTTGAATAGACCGAGAGCAGGGGTGTTTTTTTAAAACATCTGGGAAGTTCCTTTTAACTCCCTTTTAACAGGAAGAAACCTCCAGCAGGCTCAGGGAAAGCCAGCCATCTGCCCTGAGAGGTTGGATAGTAGGAGAGGAAAAGGTCATAAAAATAAAAAATATGTACATAATTAACAAAACTATGTTATAGTTATAGTTAAAATACCATTTGGAAATTCCAGAATTTTGTTCTATTCAGATTACACTATCTAGAGATATTTCCACAATACAACTTGTTGTGTTTGTTCAATCCAGCATGAAAGTTGATTTAAAATATAATTTCCTTCCTTTCTGTGACTAAGAATTTCATGTTAAAAAAATATTCAAAGTTTTCTTTTGCATTTTTATGAAATATAACCATATGTATTCAGACATTGTCACTAGTTGCCTTTTGCAATGTGAAGTTAGTTAGCAAGTGTATGCTCAAATTTTTTTTTTTTTAACTAGTGAATACTCCATAAAACTTCTAGGCAATTTAGAGACGGTTGAGCAGAAAATGTAAAGATTTGCTGACTTGAGATGGAATGGCCCAATATCTCTCCTCTTCAGACCAGATACTGAGGGATTTCTATGAGTCCTAAAATTAATTTTAAAGCTTAATTGGTCAGAACAAAGGACATAACCTTTAAACATTTTTTATCTAGCTATAGCACAGTTTTTGTTTTTATAATCGAGTCAAATTTTTAATTAGTCAACATAAAAACATGTGGTCATAATCGAAATCCAGGGATGCAGCAGAGCAGCTCCTGTTGGACTCTGCATTTGGTTACTTGTGAGCATGCGTGTTATCAGGAGTGGGGATCTCCATGATCAGGGTGTCTGCCATGAATAGCTTCCTAGCAAAACACAGAGCCTCTCCTAATCCAGGGCTCTACCTAGCCTCAGCAGACTGGTCGACACCAGTATGCGGCTGTATGCTGCTGGCTGACCACAGCCAATCAGATGATCTCATCCCTGTACAATACTCAGTCATGCAGTCAAATTAAAAGTGGGGTGTGGATGCTGAATCTATTATCTGTAACATACATGCCTAACATACTGCTTGAATGGAACAGCATAAATATTATGATTCCAATAAATAAGACTATTTATTCAATAGTATAGCTATTAACTATGTGATGTGAAAATTACTTGCAACAAAAATATACGCAAATACGAATACTTCTACGCTGCATATGAAAGATTAACATTGCTTCCAAAGTAAAGCCAGTGATGAAGTGTTTTAGCCCTTTAGTCTTTTTAAAGCAGTTATTTCAAAAATGCATCAGACTCAAAACTTGACGTAAAGTCTTTGGGAATATCATTGATTTTTGACCTCTATAACCACTTTAAAATTTGTTTAGTCTTTAAACAGGACTAAACAGGAAAATCTTTAGAATCCTATTCAATGATAATCACATATTGGCACTTATTAGCAGTGTTTTCTTCAGAATCTGCAGGAAAGC